ACTAAAAAAAAAACCAAATGCTTAAAACCTCACATCGGAAAAACCAAACATACTGACTGTGCAGCCTGGCCTGGAGTCAGTGAATTCATTTCTCCTTGTTTGGTATTAGTCTGACTTCTTTTGGGGAAATTTGTGGGGAAGATTATTTACTCGGTAATGACAGATGTTGCCTGACTGGTTCTTTCAGGTTATGAACTGACTGGGTTAGCCCGAGGTGGGGAGCAGTTGGCAAAATTAAAGAGGAACTACGCCAAAGCAGTGGAGTTACTGGTGGAACTGGCTTCGCTTCAGGTAAGCGCAGCAGCCGGAGAGCTCCTGCCGCACTTGGGTGTCTGAGGGTCCTCTCTCTGAGAGGGTCCCGCACTTAAGGCTTTAGGGTGTTTCCAGGATTTAATGGGAAACGAACTAGAGACATTTTGATTTCTGAAATGGTGGTTTCCGCACCATTGTCCCTACTGATGACTAACAAAACGTGTGTGCATTGGTAGACTTTCACTCTGGTAGGTGAGAACAGCAGCAGTCAATACCAGATTTAACTGCAAATATAACAGTTTATGCATGAAAGCTATTTTTTCCCCTTTGTGGCTAGTTAATATATATAATATGTCATCGTGCCTGATTCTCTCCCCTTGCCATTTTTATAACTTTAGGCGAATCTGAAGTTAAACACATTATAATAGCCTGGAAATAGTGTTCTATGGAAATTGTTGAAATGTAGCCTTGGTTTCCAGATGTTCTCTACAAGTGCAGTCTGCTTAAAGCCAGACAGGACACAATTAGGAAAACTTCATGCTTAAATTACTGATTTGTCCTCTTATTTAGACTTCCTTTGTTACTTTGGATGAAGCCATTAAGATAACCAACAGGCGTGTCAATGCCATTGAACACGGTGAGTGTGTGCTGCTGTGAGGCTCTTTGTTCGTCCACTTGTCCATAGCTCCACGTTTGCGTGGGATTCGGGCACCGACTGCAAGGAGAGTAAGACCTTGCCCCGTCCCCAGTGGGCAGGGCAGCGTGCGTCAGCCCCATCCGCAGGAAGGGGTTAGTAGTAAGTGCTTTAATAGAGTTGTGTAACTCCCCCCAAGTCCATATACATAAGGGAATGGTTAAGTTAAAAATTCTGAAGTGTTTAATTCATTTCTGGTCATGAATAAAGGACGAAACTATTTTTTAAAAGCCCTATTGTTTTCTTTAGTTCTTTCCAGTGATTCAGTGACCTTTTTGAACACATTAAATATTTAACTTTAAATCCCTTTCCTGTAGGCTTTCCGTCCTGCTCTTCTCCTTGATTCCTAAACATTTTCCCATTTGATGCATTTATTTTCCATTTCTTATTCTGTAACTGTGCTTAGTGTTGGCGCAGTATTTTCCGTTCAAGAAACTCTATTTTCGTTAAAGAAATAATTTTAAGGTAAGAAAGGAACAAATTTTGAATAGCAAATAAGTTATTTTGCGTTCTCAGTGTTAAAGAGGAAGTTATCTCATTTTTAAAAACTCAACACACACTTCCTGACCAGTTGCTAGTGCCAACCTTGTAAGTGGAACTGCAAGCAAAACATAATGGATTAGGTGATAGTTTGGCACTCGAGTTCACATTTTAATTTCTTTCTTTTTTAAAGATTTTACTTATTTGACAGAGACAGCGAGAGAGGGAACACAAGCAGGGGGAGCGGGAGAGGGAGAAGCAGGCTTCCCGCTGAGCAGGGAGGCTGATGCGGGGCTCAATCCTAGGACCCTGGGATCGTGACCTGAGCTGAAGACAGACGCTTAACGACTGAGCCACCCAGGCGCCCCCTATGAGTTCACATTTTAGAAGCAGATCGGCAAATTCTCTGTAAAGCAGCACCTTATGACTAACCTAAAACTCAACTTAGTGTATTCTCTCTGCTTGATGATCTGCTTTTTAACAGGGATTGTGATTATATTTAAAATAACATCTGTGGTTCAGTGTTGTATAGTCATATAAATTCAGTATGTTCAATGTTATGTATATTGTGGTCCATTGAATTATGTTGTATATATTGTGTATATTATCTGTCCATAGAAAGGACACTAGAAGGGCATATACTGAAACGCTTTCAGTAGTTATTTTTGGGTGGTTGGATTATACACTTTTATTTTTTGTTTTTGTTTCCTAAGTTTTCTGCATTAAATGTACATTAATTTTACAATTAGAAAATGTTACACAAATGAACACTGGCAATTTGAAAAAAGGTCTGAAGTTCTCATATATATATTTTTTTAAACCCTAGTCATCATTCCCCGGATTGAACGTACCCTTGCTTATATCATCACAGAGCTGGATGAGAGAGAGCGAGAAGAGTTCTATAGGTTTGTTGGAATTGGCAATTATTGATCAATTTTTGTTTCTCATATGCCAAAGGTTCAGTTTGCTGAGAGACTGTTGGCTTATGTTCTTTAGAATTAGCACAGCCTGTATTTTATTCTGATAAATGAGAAGCAAGACATAATATTGGCAAAGGCTCTAGAGACTAATCTATGCCAAGTTTTGCATGTATTTAAAATATGTCATCTCCAAAAAGGCCCTTAGGAGAAACTATTCATAGATTTGATTATTCTTTAAAATGAAATGATTTAGATCAGGTGTCTGCCTCATAAAAAGAAACTGCAATTAATCAACTATGTATTGCATGGTGAACATGTTCCAGGAGAAAGTATAAAGTACTTGGGGGCATTATGTAATAATATAAATCATACCATTAGAGAATTAGCACAGTACTCAGAAATGAGGCATGTACATGAATTGGTTATGAACAATTGCAGCTGGTAGGGACAACAGATACTAAAAAGGTAGTATACAGAGGTCAGTGTGCCAGGTTCAGAGATGGTGGGAGACAGGTAGAGGCCCGTAATTCAGGGAAGACGTGGCCATCTATGATTTATAATCTTAATTATAAAAGGTTATTGTGTTTCTTTCCTTCAATGACATTCAGGATTGTGGTGATCCAAACTGATTCAAAGTTTTAATAAATGTCTGAATGCTTAAAAGGTGTTCCATTATCAAGGGATGGATTTCAAGGTTTATTGAGTCCGGGATAGGAACGTTTTTTTAAAAAAGTTTACTTTTTTTTTTAAGATTATTTATTTATTTATTGAGAGAGAATGGTAGCACGAGAGGGAAGAGGGTCAGAGGAAGAAGCAGACTCCCCGCCGAGCAGGGAGCCCGATGTGGGACTCGATC